GAATGGGGAAATCTCATAACCAACACTGATAACGAAGAAGATGATAACGGTGCGGGAGTATCAGCACCAGAAGATGGTGACACCAATAAAACCCTACACCAAGGCATGTTTTGTACAATTCAACAAACAGAAAATAGTGGAAAACAACCACTCTCGCATCCTCAACCACCATCGCATCCTCGAGCACCCTCAAAAGATGATAACAAGAAAAATAAAAATAAAAATAAAAATAAAAAGAAAAACTCTTCGTCAAAGAAAAATGAAGAATCAGGAGGACAACCAGATGAATCTGACTCAAGCTCCAATTCTAGTTCTGAGTCGGACGAGGAACTAGAAAAATCTGCATTACCTGAATTCCCAGAGATAACGCCCACCAACGCCACTCACATTGTTAAAGAACACAAGATTCCAGTGTTTCGAGGGGATGATGACGATGAAGATCCGATTAAATGGCTCAACGATCTAATTAAGGTCAGCAAAGCAAATGGTTGGAATAAAGCGACGGCTTTGCGCCAAATACCAATCGCATTGAAAGATATCGCAGCAGACTGGTATCAAGAACTGACGAAGAAAAAGAAAACAGATATGGACGAATTTATTAAAGCTTTCGCTAAGCAATTCTCCGATACGGCCACTACAGCCAAATTGCATACAAAGATTGCAACGTTAAGAAAAGGGAAAACGAAAGTGTTGCCCAGTATTACTATTACCGGATTAAGAATAATTTCGCTAATCTCTCAATTTTGGTAAATCCGCCTAACCTGATTTCATTGGTTTAATTTCACCTTGAAATTATATTTTTATTTCGCTTTTGTTTTCTATTCTAAATTCGCTTTTGATCTCATTTTTATTTTCACTTTTGATCTTGCTCTTGTTTTCTATTTTTTTTTCGATCTTAAATTCTCTCTTAAACAATAGAGTACATTATGCAGCGAGTTCCGAAACAATACTTCATAATGTAACCAAAAATATGTATATATAGTCCTCGCGGATATTAATAAAAATACAGAATTAAATTGCGTACAATTCTTCTCCAAGTAAATTAGACTTGTAAAATTGTTGTAATTGATTGTGGTTAGGTCCTTTAGTCCAGAAAAGGCGTTGATATTGTTAAACGGCATATTGATTGATTGATTGAAAAAGCGCTTTGTGATTAAACAGTTTAAGGCTTTTAGCTAGAAAAAGCAACGATTGGAAGTTAATAAGAAGAACATTGTCAATAACCCGTCACATAAAACATAAACACAAAACCATCTTACCTACAAACCGACCCAACTAAACTCCTCTCCCTACCATCATACTGAACGATATCTGTAGATATCAGCATAGGAATTAGAAACGTCCGAATACTACTCAGTCTAATTACTTCTCCCAACTCATTGTTATAGGTAAAATCGTCGATTACGCCTAATCACGATCAACCCGTGACATTACGGCAAGTTCACAAAATTATTACGACGAGCCGACCCGAAAAATAAATACTACACCATCAAACAAAAAGCTGATCTATTTATCCGAGGCCTAGATAAAAAGCTTTAGAAAAAGATTTTTAGCCCAAGAGTTAAAACGTTAACGGAAGCCTATAAAAAAGCAAAAGAAGCGGAAACAATGCTTACTTATAACGAATTCTCCACCAGCGTAAATGCTGTATTGAACGGAGAAATGAAAAATGCTGATGGACAACGGATAAGACGTTTGGATAAGACGTTTGGAGAAGACCATCCAAACGTTGATTGCCGAACAAAGGGAAGCGAGACGAGAAAAAGACCAAACGAAGGAAGAGATGAAATGCCATTATTGCGGAAAGAAAGGTCACTTAATCTGCGAATGTCGAACTAGGTTATTCGATCAAAGAAGGGAACGAACAACCAATCAAAATAATCGATTCAATTCATACTCGACACCGCGAAATAATCAACAACCATTCGTGTTATATCGAGATTCAAGACTGCCAATTAGGCAAGATCTTCGGGACAATCGAGGAAATCAAACAACCAGAACTATCAAACATTTGGACAACAGTTTCCAAGAAGAAATTATAATCGAACAGGTCAACAAAATTATAATAATAATAATAATCGTCGACCAGCAACACCACGTACCGCTCAAAGAACTTATCTTAACATAGGACAGACAGAGGACGATTCTGCTATTGAAGAATCCGATAAAGAAGAATCCGAGATAGAAACTGAAGAATCCGAGGATGATTCCATCATGGCTTTAGTAGCCACATCGTCCAGAAAGAAAATCACAGCAATGACTACCGACGCCGAAGTGGACGGAGTAGAGTTTAAATTAATTATTGACTCCGGATCTGCTGG